AAAAACACATGTACAGTCTTATGTCGAGGTACGGCTGATCGAGTCATGTCCGATGACTTTAATGTCTGGGGTCCATAGTAAATGACATACACTGACCGAGAGACACCTGACAGTGGACGCAGTGGGACATGAGCAGGCGCATCACTTAGTGTAACTGGTGCAGGAGAATGGTCAGCGCTGCCAGTCATGTAATAACCACTGTGCATATGTAACTTGTAACACAGTATGCATACAGTAATGTATATGTGATGGATAGCTACAATACTGCCAAATTGACTAGAGTACAGTGGTCCAGGTCCCAAATGTGAACACAAGTCGAAGCAAGGCTGTGATTTGACCAGAGGTGCCCGAACCTTTGTACACAGCATCGTTAAGGACAGCTGGTGGGACACTACACCTCTTATGACAAGTTCATACTTTACTTTTCCGCGTGCAGTACACACGTATGCTTGTGTACATACTCATTTGTACATGTAGATGTCGAGTTCCTTGAGTTGGAGTAGGAAGAGTAATGTTCTGTTTGCCTCATGCGTACAGCAATGATATTCCACTAGACCACTAGAGGGCAGATGTTGTCTTATTGGTCTGAATGAATTGTCTTCTTTGCCCAGTGATTTAGGGATTTCTTTCCTCAAATTTGTGCACCAGAATATGTCTTCATGGTCATTCTACGATAATTTACACATTTACAGGTACCTCCGCACCTCCTCACTACAGAAATACTCTTCTTCTACTTTTTCTTTGTTGACCTTTACTCTGTTAAAGTCTCTGCTGCCACCTATTGGAGACACCCAGTCAACTTTGTTGCACACAAGCAAACCACACACACTAATGGGTAAAAAAAAATAGATGCATGACGCCAAAATTTACATCACTCCTCCTGTGTGCGGGACCATAACTGCACATGGAAAAATGAAGCATGGAATAAGCCTCCCACAGGTCTTGCACAAATATTGACAGATGCAAGCGACTTCATTAACTGGTACAAAGAGGCTTTTCAAATCACTTTCGCAGACTTGGAGATTTTGCCCAGTCTAGATTAGCCTTGGTTGGTTCACAGAGCAGGAGAAATGTTGCAATGACCCTTCACAAAGACGCCCACAGACAATTCACACACTTCTGTGATCCAGGCACAAAAAACCCTCTCTAGTCTATGGCCTAATTATAAAGAATAATGCTTAATCCCAAGAGCAAAAGCCAGATCATTATGAATAATGGTTAACATTCATGAAAGTAAGTCTGATCAGTCTAAATATATCCATCCATTTTCATAATTGATTAGTCTGAGATCACTGAAATGTAATATATTAAAATATAATATTCCACACCACTTAAGACAAAACTAGATTATTGAGGAACCATTACCAAGAAAGGCTGATTTGGTGATTTTGAGGGGGGGGGGGGGTTTCAAAATGAACTTCAAAACAGTGAGCCTGAAACTTAATAAGCCTTAAATCTTCATTCAAGAATTGTTTTTCATGCAAGCTGTTCCATACCATAAGTAATAACAGCACATTTCTACCATTACATCTGATTCCATCCACCCTCTAAATGATTATTCTGGTCAGGGCTGCGAGACACTTCATCAAGTTTGCTTAAGCAGCCAAAAACAATAGATTGTCCTTTAATCCATCTCCTTTACATTTCACTGCTCACTACAGGTTCACAGGAGTGTGAAATTGCACAAGGTACCACAAATGTCCATGCATCCGTACGTCCCATCCACATCTACAATAGTTTCTGCACACTTACTTCTATTTATAAGGAGGATTAATTTAGCTAAACACACAAATACAACATAGTAGCATGGAAGTGAATCAGACCAGCCAAGTGGGAGAAGAGGTGAAGTACTGAGGGTGAATTATGAAAGTGAATAAGTCATATTTAAAAATACAACGTAGATGAGGGTGCATCAGTGCCAACAGAAAATATGTAGGGCATACAGATAATATGCCACAATATCTCCAGTGTAAACTGTGGGACAACATTAATCCCACTTATGTATAATGAATCAGAGAAAGGCTCCACTTCTGCATGCCCAGGATCAGCATAAACACCCACTAGCAGTACGCCGTTGGAACATGCCCATCCTCATCCATCAGGCCACTTCGGCCCTGTGGCCTCGTTATTAGGTAATCGCTCTGTGGCCTCGCTAATTATGCTCAGGTGTAGCTAATTTAAGACTATTTCAAGAAGCTTTAACCACTGGGAGCATGAAGAGTGACATTAAATTAATTAATTAACTTGTGTTGGTTTTTCCATTCCCCCAGCCCCTCTTTGGGAGAGAGACTCTGAGTGTCTTATGCCAGTGTTTCATGACCTGGTCTTTGCGGACCTCAGACAGTCCATGTTTTTGCTTCCAGTTGGGAGGGAGCAAAAATGTGGACCGACCGGGGGTCCATGAGCACCAGTTTGGGAAACGCTTGTCTTATGCTGGTGAAGTCATTGACATTAAATGACATTATGACTTCCGGTCTCCAAAAGCTTCACAACATTCGTGCTGCTTCTCATTTCCATTTAAAAAGGAGTTTGTGGCAGATTTAGCAAACTCACCAGGTGAAAGAGATCACATATTGTCTGAGATCAAACAAATCTGAGCTAATAAATAAATAAACAAACATATTAAAAAAAAATTTACTCACCGCACATCTCTCCCAAATTATTCCCACAGATACCTCAATTTGAATAATTAAGCTTTACAACACATATTAGGTTTTCATTACAGCAAGCCCTTGGACACATAGATTAAAAACACAAGTATCACAACAGCTTCCTGTCTCACATATGGCTTAAATGAAATTCATGTCAGAGTTTAAAACAAAACCACAAGGACATTTATTAACAGCAAAGCAGAAAGTTAAAATGAAAGAGTATATATATATATATATATATATATATATATATATATATATATATTTCCTTTATGTAGGTAACTTTCACAATTATTAAGTATTAAGTATTGTAATTTGCATTAGAAAACTTGGGAGGCTACATTTATACCAGAGGTATTATGAAACAAAAAAACCGATTCACTAATGTTCATTATGAACAATATTACCCATTATGAACGCCACATAAACATTTTCAAAGACACAAGCAAATAAGAATATTCATTTGTATGAATAACATAAAATTAATGTGTATACATTTATGCACACAATAACGAAAGATGTTGGTACTTCTTGTGTCAGCTTCAATGACAGAGACATCACTTGCATAGTAATTAGAAATGGAAGCCTCTAGCTATTATCCCACAATGCTTTGTGGTTAATTCTACAGGGACACTTCTTGTCATGGTGGATTAGTTGTATTTCTGTGGAGAAATGAAATCTATGCCACTACAGGTCACAGTGAATACGCAGTCAGGAAAGCAACCACCTTCTACACCTGATCTGTTTGTCATCCTGACATTTCATACAGGGTTGGTCTCTCAACACACACTTTTCCCATAATCCTCCACTCCCATGCTAGCCAACACTTTCTCTACAGCACACAGTCCCTCTCACCTTCAGCCCTGATAAAGTCATTTCCTGTATCTGCTGAGCTTACAAAAGCCTCCCTACTGCCAGTCTCTTTGGTTAATCCAAGTAGCTGTAGCTTCTGTGGGCTTCTTGATGATTATCTTCCTGCCTGGACAGAATACATTAAGGAAGACTCAGCATAATTCACCTGAGCTTGCAGCCCACATTTGGTGATCACACTCCAGCTGAAAGTCCTTATTCCACTCTGGCATTGGGTGACATCAGGCCTGTTTTACAAAGCTGAATTTTTTGCTTAACAAGATAACTTGTTGGATTTCAGGTACCCCAGTTTAAATGTACTTAGTCTTCGTTTATTTTTATTTAGCCCAGACTACCTTAAATCTGATAGGTTGTCCAGCTAATCACGAAATCCAGCTTTGTGATACAGGCCCTTGGACCCAGCAAAGAAAAAAACACTCTGCCTCAAACTTTTCCTTAAAGGTAATTTTATAAGAAATACAGTATGTGTGAAAAAGAGCTCCCTGTTTCAAAGTTTTTCAAAGTTGTGTTCCTCTCGAAGTTTCACTGAGTAAAATTGCTTTTGGAATGTCTTGGAGAACAAGTGAAAAACAAAATGAGTTTTGGAGGGGGGGGGGATGAATCTCTCCTGTATAGATGCAAAGCTGAGTCACCCGTGTGCATGCTGGTCTCCCCGCCTCGCTGATATCTGCCTGTTTCAACCCTGAACAGCTTCTGGAAAATTCTAGGGGTATAATCCTGTGCAACACAACTCTGGATGGATAAAGAAAACAATAAGCAACCTCTTGTGGTCAAATATTCTGCCAAAGCCAACAAATCTTATACGATTTGACTCAGAGAAAGCAATTTATTATGAAATGCTAGATTAAAACCAAGAAATTATTAAAATACGATTATATTAACATACACAAGCCAATACTCCTGATTCACAAATCCAGATCTCCCCTCCTGTGTTTAAATGTAAAACTGGCCTCTTACTGAGCAGTAATTGAAGGCACCTGGATAGATGAGCATCTTCCCACATGCTGGAGAAGAGCCCTAATGTGGAAGAGTCACACGAGCCATCATCCCCAAATGCTCCCTCGCTGAGAAGATGAATGAGAAGGTGCCCCTCAGTGTCTGAGGCGTTTACCTTACACTGCTATCTCTGCAGCGTTACACAGCCATGGATGTGCTGATGCTCCAGAACATTGAGGAACTTCTGGAAATATATGAAGCTCCCTTTCTTGGATTCAAGCCTAAGGCACCAGGAGAGTGATTTCCCACGGCAACATTACTCCAGCATCAGCGATACTTTAGTGTTGCTAAGCTTTAGCGCACAGCGAGCATGTTTTGTTAGAAGACTGGACCAATATGTCTTCTGAGAAATTAAGATGCAGAGGTACTTAATGAACACAGGAGAGCAACACACTTGCTTCGAAAGGCTGTCAGAGCGGGAGAAACATTTGTTTCCCAAATATTCACAGAGGAAAAAACAAAGAACAAAGTTATCACAGCACATTAGAGGAAAGAAAGAGTTTATTTATAAAGGATCCTTTAAGCAACAATACAGCAAACATAACCAAGGAGACAAATTAAGATGATGTGGGGGACAGTGCAGGGATTATGGGATGGATCTCGTCAGGTTCCGTTTTCCCTTTATGACAGATCTCAGATACTAGAAGCTTGATGTAGCTCTGAGCTCAAAGCATTCTAGTTTGTGAGTCTCTGATTAATCCCCACACATTCCCTCAAGAATAGACATGCACACATCAATAAACAGATAATTACATTATATTTTTCACAAGTACATGAACCTTTTTACAGTTTAACAGTGTCTCACTTAACCTCCCCAAATAAATAATTACTGACACCCAGAAATGAGAAAACAGTGCCAAAGTGCTACGGGGCACCAGTGCAGATTCTGGCGGGTATATTAGTGAAAAAAACAGGATGAAAAAGCGTGATTAACTTTGCTCAGTAAATTAGAAAGTTAGGAAATTAGTTTCTAAATTAATTTCTAATTTCAGTTGATGTTCCCTGCGAATAAGAGTGAAAACGAGTTTTTAGAAGCCATTTTGGAAATCGGGAGTGATCCAGTTTAAGGTGGTGTAATGAGCACCTCCCAGAGACCCCGCGTGAGATGGCCCGTGAAACAGGCCGGCTGAAGATGCACCCTGTGGTGCCGCACAAACATTCTCCTTTTGCCCCATTTCCGCCTAATCGCAATCCTGTTTCAGATCCTAGCGTTTTAATGCCAAAGCTGCAAGACAAACTGAAGAAACTGGACAGTTTTGTGAAGTCCTGGAAGCTGATAAATTCTTTTTTTAGAAAATGATAACAAAAAAACAATTTGTGCTACTCAATTTCTAACTTTTATCACCAGCCTCCCCCACCGGAATTGTATTACACAATGTTCCTTACACGCCCTCCTGAATACCAGCCTCACACACCTAATCTCTGCCTTCCAAACAACAAACTGGAACTATAAAGGCTAAAATCAATCCAGACAAAGTATGATATAAAACAACTTAAATATATAATGCTAGCTGCACTGAATTATTGATGTCTTACCCCACTACATATTGCCCTCCCCTCCAGAAACAGATTACAAGCCCTGGGGAGTGAGAGGGAAAATCTATATTCATGTTAAACACACGGCGACTCGAAGCAACCTGGACAGCTGATATTGACACATGGATGATGGCTGCTAGTTCAGCCCGAGGCGATGAGGGGAGGAGGAGCATCAAAGGCCAAGATGGGGCTGAATGGGGAAAATGTAGAGATGGGAGGAGAGAGAGAGAGAGAGAGAGAGAGAGAGAGAGAGATAGTAAGAGAAGGAGAAAGAGGGAGGGAAAGAGAAAAAGAAAGAGAGGGAGAGAAAGAAAGAAAGAAAGAAAGAAAGAAAGAAAGAAAGAAAGAAAGAAAGAAAGGGAGAGAACTGCAGCTTATCTGACAACAATTCTGTCTTCCGGGCTCACTGGACTCTCTGGTTCTTTAAGCTGCAAGAGATGGACAGAGAGAGGAACATGGACAGTTAAAGGGACAAACAGCCAGAGATGCTCACTGTCTGCTGATAAAATAAGGCACTAACTCACAAAGTAACAGTGAAATGCCGCTTGGACCCTGTTCTGCCTTCTCTGTAGCCACTGCCCACCAACAAGCTTAAACCAAGACTTTAAACATGGCCTGATGCATTTCATCTTTATTAAGCTCTGGACCATTTCTGACTCCCAAACTGAAGTTCAGCTTTATCCCACTCCAATTCACTGATGAACCACTGACATCCTAACAACGTACCGCATGTTAGCTCTCCTTCCCGGGACACACACACCTGTCAGTGCAGCGCACATAATAACAAGCTTATCCAAAAGTAACAGCTAAGTAAATAGTGTAAAAGTCCTGCGTTTTTAAATCACACCACTGCAACCTCAGGGATGTCTTGTTACAAACAGGCTGTGGCTGATTTTAAGCAAGTTCAAATCAACTCAGTCAATTAACTTCACATTCACAACAAAGAAAACAGATGACATCAATGCTGGGATCAAACACGACTAATTGAACACATCGACTTATTATTTATGTGGTGATATCAGCCATGCAGTTCTGCTGAACAAGTAGAGTCAGTTAGATTTTAGAATGCAGGATCTTTCCCATTTGACAAAGCTATGTAGTTACTGCACAAATTCTTTACCCGTTCCAGCTCATCGACGGCATGGACCTAATGGTGTGTTCGGTTATCTCTCCGAAGTCGTACATTCCGAGGCATGTGACGTCACACATCAGACCAATCTCCAGTTTGAGCTACACATCTCAGAACAAACATGGCTGCCTCCACGAACACGCTGTTGTTGTGTTTTTGCTTTATATTTTAGCAGATTTGGAAATTATTTTTTCCCCCAAGACAAACAAACAAGAAACACAAACTCGTCAAACCACATTAAAACATCATTTATAATATTTCAGTAGATCCATAGCGATATTCTTTTTTCGAGAGGCAAACAAACCACAAACAAACAAAAAACACTAACAAGTCTGGTAGAAATCTGAGATTGCATGCTAGGATACAGTCATGAAATAGTATAATATTTTAAATATTTATAAAACAGAATTACTGTTGACCGTGTAAGCCGCCATGTTGAAATGACGACACAGGGGGATCTCGGACAACAAAATTCTTTCCGACATCAACATCGAAAAGGAGGCGTGTTTCCGACAGGAAGTGATGTTTTTCATGACGTTTTTATCCGACTTCTGACTCGGAGAGAGATAATCGAAAGCAGGATGAATTCTCCCCTTTGTTACGGAGCGAATCACGAGCCGTGGTACTGATATTGTCAGGACGGCCTGAATAGAGATTTAGCACCAACAGCAGAAACTAAACATGGGCGGAACGGCGGTGGTGGGGGATGGACTTAGTGGGAGGGGTCACCCATATTCCAGACAAGGGCACCCAGATTCAGCTGGGAGCTGCGAGGGAGCAAAACTGTGGACTGTCTGTGGGTCCCCAAGGACCACAGAATCAGGTTGGTAAACACTGATTTATGGGAATAAGGAGGTAAAGGAAAGTCTGTACCCAGATCAAGAACTACCCTCTGACTACCTTTATGAAGAGCAGTACAAAGCGATTGGGGAGAGGGAGTTTCCCACACTGTCAGAAAAAAAAAGAGTACCAATTTGTACCTTTGCTGTCACAGGGGCTGTAACCTCAAGGGTAAACGTACCTTTTAAGATACAGAAAAGGATTATGGGGAACATTTTTTGTACCACTGGGGATACATTAATGTTGTTTGTACCTTGGGGATGTTCCTCAGAGTCCATTTCTGTACCTTAAATTAGACTAAAAGGTGCATTTACCTAGATCTACAGCGTACAGTTGACAAACCCTTGAGGGTACAGCCCCAGTGACAAGCAAAGGCACAAATTGGTACTTTATTTTCTGATGGTGCAGACTGCTCACTAAGGCCTGATACCCCTGCTATTCAAAGAATCACACCCCAACCTGCCCTCCTGTAGTGTTCTGTGAAAGTCTCCTTGAACAAGTGTCCAGAGGGTTAATATTGCCAGGAAATAACCTGCCAGAATGTTTCCCCTTTAAAAAAAAATCAAAACAGCTCCCAAATATGTTATGCTCCAAGGTGATTGATTTATTTAGGCCTTTAAGCACTGGAGTGTGGAAAATTGCCTGTTCTGTGTTGAGTGTAACCTGTTCTACATTGGGGGCACGTTCTTGCAGCCAGATGAGGGGAGGGGCACTCGGTGACATCAGACAGGAGGCCTTATGACTGTCCGCACCCATCACCAGCCAAGGATGAAGAGCAACGTCTGGGTATCTGGGGTGGGGTGGACTTGGAGCAGAACAGAGGACCAGCCTCCCGCTCAAGAATCCAAACCAAAAATATGCGGGCGCTTTACCCCAAAGGGTCTCATGGGGACAGAGCAGATAGCTCCCTTTGGTCAGAGTATGGGTCAGGTATCCGGTTCTCACCCGGTGTCGTTGCTATGGAGATGGGGCCGGAGGGAGGTCAACCTTGGATTCAGTGGGTTCCCTGCACTCAATAATACAAGAGCTAACCGGGATCCGGTGAGAACCGGCCAGCATGGTTAAATGTCAGATTTACATACCATCAACTTTTGCTGCCCACAGCTCTGGGTCCACGCCAGCCCCTGGATTTGATTTGGCAGGACAGCCTGAACCCGCGCGGTCAGAGCCACAAGAACGGGCACCCGGCGCGTAACGCTATCTCCATATCGGGTGTTGTGTCCCGCGACGGCCAAAGCCGCGCTAACACCCCTGGCACCGGCATTAATGGATACTTAGTGAGGCGCTCTTGGCTCACGGCAGATTCGGCAGCAGGCCTCACAGATTCGGCAGCAGGCCTGCACCCGGGCCCAGCGTTCACTGGCTTGGGGCGTCGAAAACACACATACTAATACAAATGTGAGCAGTGTGACATTTGGGTCAGCAAGTGGCATTGGGACTGAGGCTGAGAGTCAGCGTGAGGGGAGGGGGACAGTGGTCTGTAGGGACACACGGGGGCTGTTTGGGTCACGGTGAGATGGGGCAAAGCGACCGGCGAAATGCTGGGCAGCTCACAGGGGGGCCTTGTGTGTGTGTGTGTGCACGCGTGTGTCTGTGAGAGCGTGTTACTGTGAGAGCGTGTGTCTGTGAGAGCGTGCCTGTCTGCAAGAACATGGAATCATAGCATGGCGGCAAAGCGCCCAGCACCCTGTCACTCCAGGCGCTGCCGGGCTTTAGTGCTCCCTCTTGATGCAGGACTGACTGCTGCAGGATGAATTGCACACCTAGAGACGCCATTGCACCCTTAAACCCCACCCACAGCACGCATGCAGGCCCACCACAGGTATGCACTTGTGCACGCTCTTAAAAACATCTCAGCACCTTTATGGAGCCATGTGGCACTTACATCAGGACGTCACGAGCAAGCTCACGGCTTCAGGCATTAATAGTGATGGACATGCAGCTCCAAGGTAAAACTGTTGTTTTCTTCCTGAAATTCAAAGGGCCACCGCCTGGACCAGAGCATTGTTTTGGTGCCTCTTTTGTTTACATGGTGCCCACTGATATTCTAAAATGAAAGGCTGTACTTCAGGCTCATACGGAACCAAATACTGGACCCTGGATCTTTACAGGGATGTTTTTCAGTTTGCCAGAGTGTACAGTCAGTCCCCAGGTTACAAACAAGATCCGTTCCCTAAGTCTGTCATTAAGTCGAATTTGTAGGTGTAAGTCGGAACAATAATAGTACAGTACATAATGAACATCACGAAGTAGTGTGTGTATTCGTTATTATTATTTATAAAAAAACATTGTCCATCCATCCATCCATCCAGACATTTTCTGGGACTGTGTGTCCTATTCAGGTTTGCAGGGGGTCTGGAGCCTATCCTGCAGGCTACAAACGCAAGGCAGGGAACAACCTAGGATGGGGCATCAACCCATTACAGGGCACACTCACACACCATTCACTCACACACACACACACATACACACACACACATTGATGGGCAATTTGGTAGTTGCAATTAGCATCAGCATGTTTTTTGACTGTGGGGGGAGCGCCTGAGGAATGTCTCATGATGACATGGGGAGAACATGCAAACTCCACACACATGGAACCCCGGCGGAGACTTGAACCCACAAACCATTTCAATACCCAACAAATTTTCAATACAATAGGTTTTATGGCAGCCATACGTAAGGATGAGTTGTCTGTAAGTCGTTCTTAACTGCCTGTATGCTGGAAGAAACCTACAAAATATGCAGAGCTTGAATGGAGACCGTCACCAACTCCGCTGACTCCTCCTCCTTCAGGAAGAAGCCTCTTCAGGCCTATTCTCCCTGTTTACACGCCCAGTTCATCCGCCCCCCACCCCTGTCACCCCCCGCCCCACACACCCACCCTGGCCCCCATCCCATAAAACTCACTTGTTCTGGTGCTTGGAGCCCTGGAGGTGGGCATGGTACTGAGCTGCCGAGTTCAGGGTCACACTGCAGAGCTCGCAACTGTGGCAGCGCTTTAGGCCTGGGGGGGTGGGACCGGGGGGGGGGGGGGGGGGGGGGGGGGGGGCATAAAGACACATGCGCTCTTACACGCCAGGGCAGAACCAGGATCCAATAACAGATAACCGAGCAATGCAATGAAAATAAATATTACAATACATATGCTGGGATTAGAAAAAGAAAGAAATGCTGAAAAGTCTCGATTGCTCAGCTTGGTGCTGTTCTCCTCGCCACGGCAACCTGGAGTCCGTGATCTGATACAAACCGGGCATTCCTACCACTGCACGTACAGCAAAGCGGCTTACAGGGAAACGAGCATATTCTTCTGTGTTTAAGCATGGAGCAGGTGCACCGCTAAAGAAGCGTGAAATATATAAATAGGTAATTAATAAGAGTGGGAAATCTGAAATGTCCGGCGTGAAATATTGATGAAAAGCTGATTTGGAGGAAATCTAAAATCTCTGCCCACTAGGCCAGTTTGATACGGAAAGTGAATCATTTATGAGGCAATTCACTGAAACGGCTATTGGGCATGGGCGGGGGAGGGGGGGCAGGGGGTCGGGGGGCTCCTCGACAGAGGTGGATAAACCGCACTAAGCTCAGGGCCATCTCAGCTCTGTTTTTTTATGCTCCACCCAGTGTAAATTATTTAGGGATCCCCCCAGGCCAAGCGTCCAGGAGGATCGAGTCCCAGAACCCAAAACCCTCACCAGCGGGTCCTTCACTCTGACCCTTTCCATTAAAGGGTACAACAGCACACCCTCCTGGGAACTGAACCGACAACCGCTAGTCCACAGACCCAAAAAGTTTTTAAACTTTAAACACGTTGGTATTCACACAGAGTGAGTCATAGCCGCAGCGCTGAGGGGGTACAGACAGGGACACATCCTGCGGTCACCTCCGTCTGCAAAGGCGCCTCCGTCACTGCGCGCCTGCACGGGCTTTAACATCATCCGGCAAAGTGTGGCGGGAATGAATGCTGATCTGCTTTCCCGGGAAGGGGAGAGGCGTGCGGGCAGCGAAAGGGCAGGCCGCATGTCTGCGACAGCTCCCTGAGCTGAGGAGGAGGGAATCCACACTTCCTGTGACTCATTCCCAGAAGGCAGCTTTCTGTTACACTTAAGAACAACACAACTTATCTTTATTATTCCAGAAGAAAAAATAAACAGTTGTAAGTACAGAATAAGCTGAGTGCTGTCGTTTTCTGATTGCCGCTTTAACTGAACAATGCTCAGCTGTAAGACAAGTTTCGGTAATGATCTCTGAATTGCACAGTGTTAAAATGGGATCGCTGTGATCCAGTGTAGGCAGACCCTCCCTCACAGACCGGCTGCCAGGGTGGTCCTCCCTCAGCGCCCCTGAAGCACACCATTAGCTGCGGATGATTCCGCATCTCTTAGAGATAATTACAAAATAAACAAAACATTGCTGAGCAAGTGTCCTGTAAAGGGGCAGAGCTATTCTGAGAAAGAACACCGGGCCCCACCCACCTCATGCGCTTCCTCAGGAATGCACCCCAAACCACCCCCCCACAATCAGTTTCATTACACAACTTTGAGCTCCCCCTGGCCCGAGTGTCCCCATAGCCCACTTTCTTACTCACATCTGAGTTCCTCCAGGTCCTATTGCCCCCCACCCCCCTCCCCAAAGTCTTACTCACCGCTGAGCTCCCCCACGTCCAAATGCCCCCAC